GAAAAAAAAATTCTGCTATTTGAAAAGAGAGTTTTGCTATTTGAAAAGGGAATTCTGCATTTGTAAAGGGAGTTAGGTATTTGTAAAGGGAGTTAGGTATTTGTAAAGGGAGTTATGGTATTTGTAAAGGGAGTTATGGTATTTGAAAGGGAGTTTGATTTGAAAGGGAGTTGATTTGTATTTGAAAAGGGAGTTCTGCTATTTGAAAAGGAAGTTCTGCTATTTGAAAAGGGAGTTCTGCTATTTGAAAAGGGAGTTCTGCTATTTGAAAAGGGAGTTCTGCTATTTGAAAAGGGAGTTCTGCTATTTGAAAAGGGAGTTCTGCTATTTGAAAAGGGAGTTCTGCTATTTGAAAAGGGAGTTCTGCCATTTGAAAAGGGAGTTCTGCCATTTGAAAAGGGAGTTCTGCTATTTGAAATGGGAGTTCTGGCGTTAACTCGGTAAAGCAAATTTCGTTTGTCAATTTTTTTCATTAGCGGTATTCTGTTCAAATTTGGACGAACTGAAGATGATTTCTAATGGCACAACAGTCGCATAAAGTATCTGGAGTCCATTATACTTGCCACTGTAAGGTACCTGTATCATAAAAAAATATACGAAAGATTATCTTTGGTGGAATTGTTGAATTGTCATATGACAATTGCGTAGTTCGTTCAAAAACATAATTTGCATAACTGCACGCACATATTTGCCAGTGCCCGTGCATGGCACTGTGGAAACAGACAATCGATTAGATTATTAGAGGGACCAATGAAATGGTTCGCGGGCGCAAGAACCTTTGATAATTTGCGAAGCATCTGCCAATATCAATGTGAATAGTTAGGTTTAATTAAGCATATTTATAGTTATATATGGAGTCAAATACGACCTGTGGTTATCAGAATGTGTATAAAAAGCACATTAATTGTTAAATTAACGTATTAACACATTTAATTTGTAAAATTTAATTTAAACTGATAATTGTGCTTGCACAGTTTCATTAATTACCACTGTATATAGTCATGTATTTTTATCTAATAACCTTAAAAAGAGCACATATTAAACTAATATTAAATGCATAAATGTATTCGAGCTCGAATTCATGTTTACATGCAGTTAGTAACATTTTGACATGGGGAACAATACTGTACCTTGCAGGAGAAATGTTTATTGCCAATATTGGAAATTTCATTGCTCATTGACTCATTTTAAGGGGCGGACCATTAGAAATCCCGGGAGGGGGGGTATAAAATTTTTGCGGCACGAATTTTTTTTTCAGTCTCATGTCTCTGCAGGATTTTTTTAATGCATTTAACCTCTGCACGAATTTTTTTTTCAAGATTATTTGTACTTTTCTGTTTGCTTGCACGAATTTTTTTTCTCTGACGTAATGGCTGCACGAATTTTTTTCCAGGCATTTTTCTTTGCACGAATTTTTTTGGGGGAATTTTCACCCCCCTCCCGGGATTTCTAATGGTCCGCCCCTAATCTGCGTTGAATTTGAATTTATTAAATTCGCCAATGACGTACATACCATGCGTACACACAAATATTACAAATTACAAAAGACTCTAACTGGCAAGGGCTGGATACAGGACTGGTGTTCCAATTGCCATCTTACCCCTTACAACAATACAAATATACAATACAATATAATAAAAACGATACACGTAAGACTATATTAACCACGCCTAGGTAGACAATAGGAATCCAATTTAGCAAGGTATAAATTAGTTAGTTTGGTTTTACATAAAGCAAATGAATCACAGCTATTCAAGTTATTCCAATGTTCAGCTGTTCTATTGAAAAAAGACTTCCTAAAATAATCTTGTTTGTGTTTAATGATCAAATTATAATTGTGTCAGGATCATAGTGTCTGATAACGGGAGACAAAAGTGTTCAGGTTATTGTTTACGTTAAACGATATAAGTTTATTTCTTGAAAAACAACTTTAAGCCTCATTGTGTAGGGCATGCTTTTGGGATAGTTTAAAGTATTCCGCAACAAAGCTTAGTTTGTTCAGCTAACTCACCAAGAAAAACTGTACAAAAAAGATGACAATAATTCTAATACTGTCATAAATTATTTCCTTGGACTTAGTGAAAATATTGGTAAACTGAAAGAGATTATGAAAGCCCTTGGTTACCGGTATAATACACAGACCTCTCCAAACAATCATTAAAACATTTAATATAGAATAACTTATACACTATTATACAACCTATAATTTCTTTACTTAAAAAATTGTGAATGCTACAACACAGTTAACCTTTCTATTTCTATTCGATGTTGAGAATTTGACTCTGGCAACGCCGGGTCATTCATAAGAACGATACTGTTGTCTGGAAATGAAGCTTCATTTTTCATCCATATTGTTGGTAGAAGGATAAGAGCTCCTAAGATCATTGGTCCTCCGGTTAGGTAGAATAGACATTTGTACGAGATACCTGCATCCCTCACCCAGCCTGGAAATTAAATAGATGAGTGTTAAATCTCGTTCCCCGAGCATGCCCGTTCGCAGGTTAAGGCTTAACCTGCGAACGGGCATGCTCGGGAAACGAGATTGGGTTTATGTTAAACTTCTGGGGCCGGTTGTTCAAAGCTGGGTTAACCTAAAATTCAAAGCAAACTTCCTGACAGCTTGTCTAAAAATTTGAAAATATTTCTTCAAAGATCTTGTCTAGATTGGTAGGAGTTTTCTTCTCTGAAGTTTTGAAATAAACAGACGTGCAGAAATACACAAACTAAAACAGTGGGTTAAATTTTAACCCATGAGGCCAAAAAAAAATATATGTGGGTTTCCGGTTCCCCGACCCTACCTAGCTTTTGGACGTCGAAATCCCGACCCTAAACTTTTTTATTGGATCATGCTTGTAAGTGTTTCCACTTGGAGGAAAAAGTTTGTGGAAAATTGAAATTTGAGGCAATATTAGGGAAATTTATCTTTGGATGTGGAAGCACTGACTAAACAAAATGGCGCCCGCTTATTCGGAAAATTAAAAAAAAAGTTTAAAAAAAAAAGTTAAAACCGAACCGGAAACCCACATATTTTTTTTTTTGCCTGAGGGTTAGCGCCTATGGTTAGCGCTAACCCACCTTTGAACAACCGACCCCTGGTTTACGCTGTCAATGTTTCTGTGATCACAGTAGGAATTTTGCATACGTAAATTCCTGAATCATTGTTTAACACTAAGTGAGTTCCCTCAAACATTTCTCACAAATCCTTCAAAACTTAGAATTTCCTAAGAATGATCATGGAAAGTTTGATAGTGTAAACTAGCGTTTAAACAAGTAAAACAGTTCATTACTTTGACATGTATATTCTAATTCGTCCAATCTCAGCTATTCACTACTATTCATGTTATCGCTCAATTGATGATTCCCCTTATCATGTTTCCGTAGCGCTTTGCATTGTGGTTATAGTGGTATCACTGATAAAGATAGCGGCCTCGAATGAAAATATTGAATGTTTTCGCGAATCTTTTGCTGTTGGCTATCGTGCACCTGACCCTAGCTTTTTTCGAAAGTTCTTGCACGGGTCAGGACAAAAAATAAGCCATATTGAATATCAGTGATACCACTATAACCACAATGCAAAGCGCTACGAAAACGTAACAAGGGGAATGTAGTAGTATTGCACGCAATTTGGGCTCAGCGAAGAACGCGTCATTTCGATTCGTAGTTGACACTTTAGTGACTATATTCTACAGAGCCTGAAATAACGTTCAAAATTTGTCAGGAAAAATGGCCGACCAAAATGAAATTTAATCGAAAGCTTTGTCGGACATTTTTTCGATTCCATTTTGATTTCATGGCTTCGTTGGGTAAATTAAGCCAATATATCTGTATAAATAATATTTTATGCCAAACACTGGCCATGCAGTATGGTTAAATCTTCTACATTTAATGTTCTCTGATATTAGTGCTAACATTACTATAGAAAAGTCAGTCTTCTGAAAAACTCGTGGTAGTTATATAAACACTTGCAAACACCGGATTTTACTATTATTTGCGTATTATATAACAAATTAATATAAAGAAGCAACAGCCACTACGTATATCATGAAACGTGATATATCCATGAATATCAGGGCTCGAAATAGCCACTGGCCAAAAGCAGGCCATATTTTATAAATGGCAGGCAAAAACAAATTTGAACTGCCAAGTCAAAAACAAATGGCAGGTGAGATTCTATAGATATATTTCATTTCATTTACTTAGCACAACTCATATATACTAGATCATTTAGTTGACTAAATACGTTTATATTTGAAATGTAAATCCAAGTTTACTGAAGTAAAGCAGACAAGTTTAAAATAATACAATGCATTTCATGAAAACATTGATTTTTGCAATATGACTCATATGAGACATCGCCATTTTGGCAGTTCAATGAAAAAAATGGCAGGCTAAACTTTATTTCACCTGCAAGAAAATTTTAGACTGGCGGGCCATATTTTTTCTCTACTTCGAGCCATGGCCAACACCCTTCACTGATAGAACTCACCTACGGTAGGGGGACCCACGATCATAGAACATGACATAAACATGAGCGAGATTCCCCAACTATGAGACATCAACTCCAGTGAACCAGTGCACTTGAAAGCCATAATAGACATAAGACCAATGAATGAACCATCCAGCAATCCAAATATTATAACATACACTACTAGCCCCGTATACGAAGTCGATACTAAGGAGAATAGTATAGAACTTAGTCCAGATATAAACATTGAGATCATATAAATTATTGGTGTCCAACTTTGAAAGTGATCAGAGATTCTTCCATAAATTATCTTGCCCACCGCTGACCCGGCTGACATGTATGTTATGAGTAGGGTTGCTTTGTGCAGGCTCACTTTGTTATCTTCTGCATAACGCAACTAAAAGGAATTAATGTTATATTCGTTAGTAATAGGCAATTTCAGCTTTTAGTTCATGCGTGCAGGTGAGGATGGGAAATAAGGTATCATATTGCTGATTGTGCTGAAAAAATAAAAATGGCGGCCGTGTGAACACGGAGTGATAGCTTATACTTGTAAATATTGAAATGTTTCGGCAGTTTTTATTGAAAATTTTCAGCATAATCAGCAATATGATACCTTACTTCCCGTCGCCCCCTGCGCGCATAAATTAAAAGATGGAATTGCCTATTCACATATAAAATATACACCGGAAAATGCTCTGTCTTGGCCAACGACAAGAGGCCTAGGAACTAGGCTATAAGCGCCTCTGAGATCTTGGGCCCGATTCTCGCTCAACGTCCTGCTCAAAGGCTTTCTCCAATAGGAAAGATTGATGGGGTGAGTTATGATGAGTACATGAAAAGCCCTTAGTTTGAATGATCTGAGTAATTTGTTTCCATACCAAATGAACAAGTGGAATGAAGTATCCAAACGTCCCAGCTGTGCTAGCCATACACCATAGTATAAACTTCTTGTTACGCATAAGTAGTCCGAATTTCTTCTTAAAACCAATGGCCTTGGCTACCATTGGCCTTTCGCGGGTAGGTACTGGAATAAGTGGTCTAAATATTACACCACACATAATAACTACCAGAGCAAAACCACTATTGAAGCGAAATACGTTCCTCCAGCCATGTTTATTTAATACGACCTCCTGTACGATAGCTAACGACAATGCCCCGGTGTTGCTCCCACAAGTTGCAATGCCCGTAGCAAGAGAGCGACGCTTTTCAAAATATTGTCCAACCATTACTAATGTTGGTAAATAGGCTAGTGCGCTACCAAATCCAAATATTACTCCATATGTGATATATAGTATGTTTAGCTGTTGTGCATATGAGCTAACCAGCAAACCAACGCTCATTAGTATTCCACCCGTCATTGTCACCACCCTCGCACCGTATCGTTCTGTTAAGAGACTTGATAGAGGACAGAAGAAGAACAGCATGAACTGACTGATTGATTGTACCCAAGCTGTGAATATGAGAAAATAATGAGTAGTTAGAACTTAGGTCTTTGGTGACGGTGTGGTGGTACATTTTGGTGGGTGGTATATGTAACCAGGTGGTGGGTGGTGGTGGTGGTTGGTGGTGGTGGTGGTGATGATGATCAGATTTAGTAATGGAGATTTTTTGTTATGGTATTGAAAATTGTAGTGATAATGATGATTATTGAAAGTAATGATGATAGTTTTTATAGTGATAAAATCAGGTGTGAAGGGTGTACAACTACATGAAAATAGATGAACAGAACTTCCAGGGTCGAAACTCAATTGAAGATTGAGCTTTTACTACCGTATACTGGTGGTGGAAAAGTTGCTTGTAGAAATACCGGAACTTCAAACGTTTCAAGCGAAATAATGATATAAATATATGTGAGTTCAGTATACGTGGTAGTAGTTGTACGTTACATGTAATAGACTGTATCCATAGGAAGGAAACTGCCCCCCCCCCCAGAAAAAAAAACAAAAAAAAAACTTGTAGAAGAAAACCATGGAAATTCGGGCAAATGCTAGGATAAATCAAGAAAATTCGGGCAGATTTCTCAGAAAATATGCTAAATTCAGGTTATTTCATTCAGTCCGCTGAAAGCATCAGCCTACCCGCCGCTGAGCTTCACAATACCCCACCCTGGCAATTAAACCCAAGGTTAATGTTCTTTGAAGTTTGCCCTTGACGTAAAACGTAACCTTTGTACCTCTTCAATGAATGTACTTATTGTCTTAGGACATTCCCTTCAATTAATTGAGATATAATCTTTATGAAAATATCTTTTGAAAATACGTTTTGAAAATAGCTTTGAAAATACTCGACCCTCCATAGGTTTCTACTGCTTCTTATTAAAGACCATGTTGTCTAAGTTGGCCATTCGCTCGATATTTAAACTTGATTAACCTATGATATTTATAGATAATTTACTTGTTCTGCCCACTGGTGATGCGTATCCCAATTTTGCGATTTCAATAAAATTCCTTTGCTGCGCCTATTTTTTTAATGTGTTTTATACCGACCTCGGATCAAACCACAGGCGGCCCATCTCTGAACGTCCTATATATTTTGAATATTTAACCGTTCTAATATTTTAAAATAACAAAATAATTCAAAAAATATTAAAAATATATGTAAAAAATATATCTCGCTTGTTAATAGAATGCATTTGTTGTATTTCTGAGTCTAGTTGATGCGATTGCTTTACGTTTTCGTCGTACTTGAACAGTCGTCAGTACTGGCACTGGACGACATAGCCATGTCTTATATGGCCATGTCGTCCAGTGCCAGACTGCCAGTACTGACGATCGTTCAAGTACGACGAAAACGTATTAAAAGCAATCGCATCAACTAGACTCAGAAACACAACAAATGCATTCTATTAACAAGTGAGATTTTTTTTCTCCATATATTGTTAATATTTTTTAATTATTTTGTTATTTTAAAATATTTTAACTGTTAAATATTCAAGATATATAGGACGTTCAGAGATTGGGCCGCCTGGCTGTGATCAAACGAGAGAATCAATGAGATTTGGCAGTCACGCGACCCTGATTAGCTGTTCTTAATGCTTCCCAACCCTATCATGTATTCTGTTTAAGTTGAGACATAGTTAGAACACGCATTAAACATTCAAACCTTTATTTTGTTATTCTAAGAGCTTGAAATGTCCCCTGTATCGTGACTGCCAACTCATCAATTCTCGTTTGACCGCGGGGGTTTTAAGCATCCATTCATTTGCAATTTCTAACCAAGAACGTCTTCCTTATCTTGTCCGAAACAAACTTTCTGTCAGCCATACAATCCTGATAATTCTCCACATGCAATGACGATGAAATGAATGCAGTAACTTGCTGTCACTAGTATACATAAAATTATTCGAGGTTATATTAAATCGTCTGGCATAAGTCAAATTCCCAGGGCTCAGGTCCCTGTGACCAGCTCAGCGGGTGATGCCGGCTTACGTTGCCTACACATATCGAGTAAAGATTTGTATCGTAATATATTTAATACCTGTTGATACTATCGTTTTATAAATGCCCAGGTGCCATGAACATCGACACACATGCAGTTCTCACACACACTTGTGAAAACACTTGTGAAAACATATACGGACAAAACAGTTTAACTATCATGGAACATTTAACATTAAAATCATACTGCAAGTGTCGCAATTAATTATATAGAATATATTAATTGTTACAATATTTCGTTTGTTCTTGTTAATATTTCGTTGTTTATACAAGATTTCGTTTAACATTGGAAGTTTTTCTGTCAAACTCATTCGTTTTTCTTTGAATGTGGACCGCTTCTCCTGCCGAGTTTGCCCAAATGGCAATGTGCAGGGAACCTAGACACTATTATGAACATTTCTATAGAGCTGTTGTGCAACAGAATTATAACCGAATCGGTAAATAAAATCGATATATTTACCGTATCATAGTCTAATTTGCACTCAATATGTGATGCTATGAAACACCATTAGAAATATAGACGCTTTTTACTTTTTGAAATGTGCTTTTTTACTGATGTGCAAACGCTTTGTATTAAGAGTAGGATTAGGATGACGTACTTTGTGGAGAATGACACAATTTTACTCAAAGACAAAGTTTCTCAAGTAGATTTCATGCAAGTTTTCTTTGTTTTAATAATTAAATATAATATATTCACACTGCAAACGCTATACCTACATATAAATTTTATTGCCTTCCACTTGTTATATATACCATAACATATACTTTAGTTTCCATTATTTAGCGCTAAATGTTGATGTACGGGTCCAAAATAATTTATCCTCAGCATGGAGCTAGCATTGATTCTCCGATTAATAGTTTTGTTAAAATTGGAAATTTTCGAGAGCTGTAATCGAGAGACGAGAGGTGTAAATGCTTTTAAAACATCACAGATATTCGATACCTATATAAAGGACTGATCGATATAATCGGATCTGCAGGTTTGTTGAAAGGTCCATCAACATGAGGTAAATTACCATGTCATTTTCCTAAGTACCTACCAGTTTTTGCTTTGCTCTCCCCAAACGAATCGAGCAGGGCGACGAACACAACACCGCAGCTGTAATGAATGCCCAGAGTCACGAATAAAGTGCAAAATGCAGCTCCGCATACAAGCCACGCATAACCACTGTCCTTTGTTGCACAGACATTCTCTGCATCTGTTGTCGCTTTGGCATCATTTAGTCTTTCTTCATCCGCGTTCGTCATGTTTAAAGACCTATACTAACATGTCTACACGTTGACAAGGGCGAATTTTATGTTATGTCACTTCGTGTGCGTATTTCGTAAAGGTGCACAGCAGGATAGGAGAATTATGAGGTCAATGACCCACTCTTTTCAAGTGCCTTCAGAGAGTTAATTGAGTTTGATAATGGCTACACTTGGCAAGAGATGCCGTATATGATGGCATTTTAAAAACAATTACAACAGGTCACTGACAAAATATATGCATAAATGCATGATATTGTTTAAAACAACGCTCATATTAAATGCATGTCCGTTAATACAGGCCTTTGTTAAATTTTGTTATTTGTATAGCATTTCGTGTGTAACTCGTTACTGAAGACTATTTTTACAAGAAATCTTTGAGAAAAATCGGCAGTACTAAGGTAGCGAATTTAATTTCTTATGTACATAATTCTTAGTTATCATTTGTATTTGCATTTGTACATCTTAGGGCGTGTTCATATATATGTGCCCAGCCAATCGAGAAACTCTGCATCGGCTCTTAGGTGCACACGTAAAAACGCAAAAGTTGTTTTATATTTTGTAACAAGCCTGCAGCAGACTTGTAGCAATGCTGTTCCAACAACTTGTCAACAGGATGTGTTCGCACTGCTTTTTCCCAGCTTGTTGACAACTTGCTACAAGGTTGTTGAGCTCAACAGTCTTGTTACAAGTTGTTCCAACAACTTTTGTTATCGTCCTGCAATTCAACAATTTGTCAACAAGTTGTGAGTGACAAGCATTGTTACAGCGTGTTAACAAGCTTGCTACAAGCCTGTTGCGAGCCATGGCGTTCCCGGCAAACTGGCTTGTATGGACACGCCCATATTGACTAAGCCAATTACTTGTTGCAATTAGAAGACACTCGCGGAGACTTGGTTTGGTTTATACAGTACAATGCCTATTGGCTAATAAAGCACGGCAGACGTTTGCTAATCTCTCATCCAATTTCTATCCAAATTTAATCAATTTCGTCCTTGGGCAATGTCGCATCATCTCACAAATTTTCTTATTAATACGTTACATTTTCTTTTATTAAGTGATCGTGCTTGACACACTCAGACAGACGGACACACATTAAAAGTAAGTAAATATATGTCACTTGAGAGCAAAGTTGAATGAATTAAGTTCAGTAACAAATTACGGTACATTAACTCGAAAGTAACTGAGAAATGATATGTCCGGAAATATTTTGAACTGCCCCCCCTTTGGGGGGAAAACGATTAATTAGCAACTGAAATGTTTCGTGTTTGATCAGTAAAATATACCCCCACCCTAATCTTGATCCATCCGTCACTGGGTCAGGGCCCCACCAGAGGCTGCTCATTCGTCGTCCTTCATTTCAAGACCCCAGCACGTCCCTGGTTGAAAACATGACCTTGTGCGTGTAAATCATAGATATCTTATATACACTAGATAGTGCATCTAATTATTCTGCAATTCAAAAATTGAAGCCGTGATTGCAGACTCAGGATATTCCCATGAAATGAGAAGACTCTTATGCTTTTCTATTTCTTAAACAGGGAACTTAAACATTAAGTTAAACCTATATTCCAAATACATTTTCAAACTGTTCAAATGATGAAAGTTATTGTTGTTTTTTAAGCGTTTATTAGCGAGTGGGAACTACCAACATGGCCGCCATCTATTCAAATGGGGGTAACCGCTGGGATATTCCATGCGCTATCTACACGGCAAAAAACGCCGAGCCCGTTGCTCAACAGGACTGAACAATGTTTTGCTGCCTACGTTGTTCATAGCTGTCAACAATATTGAACAATATTGTTGAGCCTGAATCGGGTGTAACAATATTGTTCGATATTGTTGACAGCTATGAACAATGTGGGCAGCAAAACATTGTTCAATCCTGTTTTCATCAGTATTGCATCAACTTGAACGTTTTTTGCCGTGTAGTGTATATAAGATATATATGGTGTAAATATGAACGTTCACACGGTGTGGGGTTTACATTTGGCTTCCAGTGCGGGCAAAATTTTAACTTTTGTCGGCAAATACAAAACCACACAGCCCCTGCTTAAGCCTCGTCACGACCCTGCTGATATGTTTTTAATAGGTATTACTGCCCCGCGGCGAAAAAATCCTGATAGATAATGAGTTTTATTGTTATTCTAATGAGTTTCCAAACCAGAAACCAATGGACAATGCAGAACCAAATGCAATAAATACGACCGGTAGTACGACGTGGTAAGATGTCTATTTCACCAGTTGGTGCAGTAGAACACGTTTTCAGAGACTATGATGCTCAGTGTTTACTGTAAAATTAATCCGAGAATCAGTTTACTTTCGGGGAATTAGGAGGTAGATATTGTTTACCAGCTAGGGGAACACACCACGATATAGCTTGCGGTTTCACAAAGGTAAGACATTACAATTTATGGTAGGAATACTGCTATACCTGTAGACGTGGTAGCGACTCTTTGAAATGCCTATTTCAGACGGCATACTTTTAAAGGTCGATTCAGTACACTACACAACTTTTGCCTAAAACTGTCGCATGCAACCTGCTTACAACTCGAGTTGTACTGTGTAATTCAAGTACACAACTCGCCTATAGGTTGTTGACCTTCATGTGCCGAACTTTAATTGACGAATTCGTTACGGCAGAAGAGCGACGTACAAATCAAGAGTCGAGAGCGGCGAAAGTTCGACACTAGCCTGTCGCATTATGCGACGTTGGAGCGACATTCATTCATACGCCACACATCTGCTGCACCTAACTCAAATTCTTGAAATTTATCAATATTATATCAGCCATCTTGTAATTTTATGAAATTTTTGTTTTGAATATTATTTCGGATTCGCTAGCGAATGCACCCCAACCTTGTCAATAACATATAGTCATAGACATTTATGTACGCGTTTGAATCACTACCTGAACTGAACTACCGTTCTTGTATACAGCTTTTTCAATTAAGGTTGTCTCCCGAGCAAAGCGGAAAAGTCGAATACGAGCGCGAAAGGCTGCTGGGAATCGCCCTAGTAAATGAATCGGAATTTATTAGCGATTCCCAGCAGCCTTTCGCGCTCGTATTCGACTTTTCCGCTTTGCTCGGGGGACAACCTTAATTAATTGAAATAGCTGTATATCTCTCCAGCGTCTACGCCATCTGAATGGGCCTCAAACACCATGCACACTTACAGCCAAAGGCTTTAGCAAAACTATAATAACCCTCTCATTTTACTACATTTTCGCGTGAACGCCTCGTTCTCAAAAACACCAGGCATTATTATTGGTACAGACGAAGTCATTACTTATTTATTTATTATAGTTTGGCGGTCAGGCGGTCCATTGGCATTGTAACTACAGGACGAAACCTAACTTGACCCAATTTATTTATAATAGACTCTAATATTTATACTAGATATAAGATATCTATGGCCGAGACAAAGAAACATAAACGTGTCGCCACAAGACAATTGCAAAGCAAAACAATTATATCTATTTTTGCCATGCAAACCTACAGGGGTCAAGGATCTTATTGGAAGAAATATTTCAATTATTGAATAATTTATCAGTTGTTTTGAATATTATTTAGGATTAGTCGCTCAACGAATGCGCCCCATGCCAACCTTGTCAATAACACTACAGGCATTTTATGTATCGTTCCAGCGTCGTGTACGCCGTCTCACCAGTTTGCAGAACGTGGCACAAGCGCAACAGTGGCGCCGGCAGGATTTATTTTTGGGGGGGCAAATAATCCGAGTGCCAAAGGCACGAGCCTGCTAGGGGGGTTCGGGGGTATGCCCCCCCGAGAAAATTTTGAATTTTGGGTGTCTAAAACCGCATTTCCTGCGTTTTGGAGGCACTTTAAGAGAAACATAAAGGTTTTAATAAATCTCTTTTTTAGTAGATCGGAACATAATTGATTTCCATACAATATATGAATCAAATGTATTTTTAATAACCAAGAATGAAATGAAGAATTTAATGTTATACATATTTAGTACAAGTTCCATCTTCGGGGAGCTGCGTCGGTAAATCTTTCAACGAGTACTTCGATGTCGAGGCCCCAACAAATGTCAGATTCCACGGACATGAGCATCAGCGATTCTAGTCGATCTTGCCTCATCGTCGACCTCAGGCGATTTTTTATTATTTTCAGCTTGGAAAATGATCTCTCAGCAGATGCTGATGTCAAAGGGAGAGTAAGGGCAATGTTAATAATTTTTGACAAATTGGGGAAGCATTCGGGTTCTTGAAGAAGTTCGCGGTATAAATCAACCAACGACGGCTTTCGTTCTTTCGTTTCCTTGGCCATTACACGCAACCGTACACTTGACAACCAACTATTTACACACCGCACCCCCCCCCCTACGGCATCGGATTTGGACAAATCCAAAAACCCACTCTGGAAATATTGGGGGGGGGCGGCTGCCCCCCCTCGCCCCCCCTTGCCGGCGCCACTGAAGCGCAACCGAGGGCAAATTCTCTTTCAAAATATGCGCTCCTGACCCCAAGTGCGACTTTCTTACTGCCCTAGTGCAGAATCAATCTACAACGTTACAAATACGCTTACAACGCTACGAATCAATCTACTCTCTCCGTCTTACAACGGTACAAATATCAAATGTTAAAACATCTGCTAATAGTTTATATGAGAGTTGAGAAGCGAGAGTTTGCATGAGATCTCTGGGCTTCCTACAACTTGATTTCCACCTTTAGCAATCATGCTAACAGAAGCACTCAGTTCTGGTGCGCACCTGATGATTTCAAACGCGCCTGCTCCTCAGAGATCTGGTTTAGCGCATCCGAGATCTCGTCGAAATGTGCCACATTCTGCAAACTGGCGTCTGAGCGGGCTTGCCTGGCGAGAAGTGGTACTCGGCAAATCTAGTCTCAACCATATCACGAGTAGAATGAGTTTGTTTTGACCGTTAAAAACACCGGGCATTATATATTTACAGGCAAAGCTATAAACCCTCTTATTTTTTTTCGTGTGAACGCCTCGTTCTCAAAAACGCCAGGCATTATTATGTAACAGGTAAAAAACTATATCTGGTGTTTCCTGTCATCTCTTGTATTTATAACAACAAAAATATTTCAAAGAATAAAGAAGAAACAACAATAGGACCAATAATATATTCCTTCCACTCCTTGTCAGGCGCCATATTGAATTTTGTGGCCAGAGCATGCCCGCCCGTTCGCAGGTGGGTGCATGACGGGATTGAAATAGCCCAAAAACTACCGGTTTGTTTACAAGATTGCAACGTACGTGACTGGAATTCCCTGACCATATTAAATGCTGAAAGTGAAATCCATTCTAGTTATATACGAAACTCGATGACGGGAACTCCTCAGTAGGGGAAGTGAACAATATTGATGATATTTTCCCAACGAAATAAGCTGTGAATGTTTCTACACAGAATACAATGTATAATTGTATATAATTACCAGCAACTGTAACCAATCACGTAGCAGGAAGCGGAAGACGTATTAGCATAGAATAATGCCATTAGCGTTGGATTCTATCCAGTGCTCTCACTTTTAAGGAATTATCCTTAAAAATAGGAATTTTGAAGAGTTTTAAGGATTTTTTTAAGGAATTTAGGTTTTTGAGGATTTTTTTAAGGAATTTCCAAAACATTTTATCCTGGACTAAAAACGTTTTGACGGAGAATAGTCACGCCACGCAAATGAGATTTAAACTTGAAAGTAGTAACATTATATGCACATAATTACATATATTCGTATGTTCTCTATGTCGTAAATGTACATATGGCTGTCTTCCCATTAAAATTCTCAAAAGTTAAATGTCAGTGTGTGCCGTTTCTTCTGAAATCTACAGATTTTCTAAGTTCTCAGGGCCCTAGCAACCGGGGGAGGGGGGAGGGAGGGTGCAACACCCCTAATGTTGCTCATGAATGAACAATTTCAGGTAGATATCCTGTAGATTTTCAGGTAAATTCAGGTAATTCTCAGGGCATAAAAAAGTGAGCTCTCTAATCTGAATTGGAGTTAACAATCAAACAAACTAAAGACGTTGAGACGTGTTGTGGCAGGGAGACAATTGCGAAATACCCTTTCTGACGATCTGGAAACTCCAAATTTCCAAAATTTTCTCAATTTCCCATTATAAACTGAAAGCAGCAATACTTATCTTCATTGTCAGGCAATACTAAAATATTGGGTAGGAAAGACTCTAAAAATGCCATTTCCGACGGTCTAGAAACTTCAAATTTTCAAAAAATACGGTTTTAAAGAACGTTCAGTTCGAAAAGTTCAGGTAAATCAGGTGAAAAAAACACTTTTTGCGACTCTGTGATCAGGCCTTGTAGTCTCTCTCCTCCACAGAGGCTTTGAGGAGCTACTAACATTACCGTCTAGCGCATATATTTTTAATACAGTAGCTCCTCAAAGCCTCTGTGGAGGAGAGAGCCTTGTAGTAGTTTTACCAATTTAAGGAATTTTAAGGAAATCTGAGGAATTTTCGAGCTTTTTCTAAGGAATTCGAAAATTTGATTGTGAGAGCACGGATTCTATCATTCCATATTCCATGATTCTTAGACATTCTGTATCGTGACAGGTTTTGCTTCATGTACTGATGTACAATATTGAAGTCTATTGTTGAAGTAGCGTGCTGTTCAAATTTGTTTACAACATTTTAGAATTCAATACACAGACAAAAGCTCATCGATTCGCGTGAACCAAAGTGGAAAATAAGCGAAGGGAAATGCTAGCGAAGTTGCATAAACATGTACGAAAGCCGAACCGCCTTGTGCTTCTACTCATTCCGCTAGCTTTCGTATGGATGCTGTATTTGGTCAAAATTCAGCTGGACTTGCAACGTCTACACGTGAACAAAGATTATTTGAGGGAAAGGATTGTTGAATTATCAAAAGAATACGTTAAAGCGGTTGCAAGAGAGAAGGAGGCGAATACTATCGATGGACAAACTGTAGGTAAGTATAGTACTATAGTACTACTGTTCTGTTCAAAACACAAAATGCGTTTAATCAAATACCCAATGATAGGCATTATATTTTGAATTAAAGCTTAAGTAATCTATAAAACCACGAGCAAAATTGACCTTAAAATGAGACGGTTAATTTAATTTTTCTATTTATATTATAATACAATCGTTTTCCTAGTAGTTCGAACCGCGTTTTAATAATAATAGTACAAAAAATTTCAGTAGTATTAATAGTACAGATAATAATAGTACAAAAAATATTAAAACGTCGATAAAGTTTCAAAACACTTTTAGCGGCGGTTGCTTTTTCCTGTCGGCATATTGTGTTTACTTAATAATATTGTTTACTTATGGAACTTGGTCCGCAAAATATACAATTCCAACATAAAGTTATGTTAATTTTTTCATACTTTTTCCAAAAGATCCTTAGCTTTTTCAAAAATCACTGTTCCCTATATTAGAATTTTAGCTTTATTACATAAAACATGTGTCTGGTATATCTATATATTGGCCATGTCAAGCGTCATGCAGGAGAAAATGTAAACCTGTTTTGCCAAATTGACAGGTGGTAATCTAATATTAATGTACAGATAGTGAGATAGATGAGACACAAATTTGCTTTGTTTTGAGAAAAGTAACGAATTTCATATTGTAAAATTCGTTCACAAACCTGTGAAATAGCAGAATTTTGATGTTAAATTATAGCAGGATGTAAATATATGTTGTTAGAAAATTATGGGTTTTTAATTATTAACTAAAATGGGAGGGTTTCCCTGAGTGCCTCAATAATTGATAAATGTCTGTAACAAAGTGGCATTGTTCAATAAGGGAACTTTTATTAATTAAACAGGGAGCTTTAACTCAGAGCAATTTTGAATAAAAGTTATTTTAGTACCATATTTTCCTGTTGTGTATGACAATATGTACAACTGTTGTGTATGACAATACACATGAGTCAGTACATTACACCAACACAGAAAAAATCTTGATTACTAGATTACATTGATATCGAAGGAACTAGATTGTGTTCTGAAATATCATCCGACCTGACTGCGTAGCTCATTTGGCAGAGCATTGGGCTGGTATTCCAAAGGTTGTAGGTTCGATTCCCACCATGGCCAGGCATATTTTTCAAGCTTGCCCGGTGTAGATATACACTCAGAGTACCATCACAAGCATCATATTCGCCTGAGTACATTACACCAACACAGAAAAAATACAGGTATATACTGACAAGTTTTCCTTAACAAGGAAGTCTTGTCAACCATAAACATGATCGAGTCAAATAAATTTTCCCTGTTCAAAAGCTGACATGACTTGCCTTTAATTATAACTGTGAAGGTGAGTTGAATTTTGCGGTTCCGGTTTCACATCCTGAAAAAATAAAGTGACTAGGTCAAAAGTTCATATTGAGATTCACAAACCAGTTTGTAAACTACGCATTTGATTGGCTTCTTGTTTTATTGTTAAGATTACCCGATTAGAATTCCCCGAAGTAGAATCTGCCTAACAAAACACTGGGAGTGGGGGTGGTTGAGG